AACTTCAAACTTCACAACAAGGTTAATTACCAAGAAACCTCGGAAAAGTTCGATAACTGCCATTATCCGACCATAATTTGTGGAGTTATGCCCCTTTATGGACTTGCCGAAACAGTGTCCGCTCGATATCTCGAGTAATTATTAACGGATTAACTTCAAACTTCACAACAAGGTTAATTACCATGAAAGCTCGGACAAGTTTGATAACCACCATTATCCGACCATAACTTATTGCCAAACCTACAACGGACTTCGGCACAACAATTGACTTAGTCTTTTCCAATTTTTGTGTGAACGAACTGCAGGCAGATGTGATTGAAACCTTCTACTCTGACCATAAGATTGTTTGGATTGCATTATAACATGGTATTACTCCAATAATATAAATGACTAATTAAAATGCTGTTAACTCATTTATGTACCAGTTATGTTGAACGATTTTTCCTAAACAACAATTATTCCTAAATATTTTTAATGCATTAACTTCAAAATTTATGACGAGGTTAATTTCCGTAGAAGCTTGGACAAGTTTGATAACCATTATTATCCGACTGTAATTATTGGAGTTATTCCCCTTGGTTTCATTAATGCGATGCATGCGTTCCATGATGATGTATTGCACTCATTGATCTACCAGTTATGTTGAATGATTTCTCTTTTAATATCAATTATACTCACAAATACTTCATATATTTCAATCATACAAACAACTGCTCATTCAATGTGTGATGGGCGTATTATATACCGCTCGCGGTAACCTTGTTTAAATTGAGAAGATACAGATTATGTGTAATGCTATTGATTTGATTGTCTGGATGACTTGGGTGGGAGATGAAGTAACTACAGGGTAGTAAGTTACTGCCACATGTTACCAAGGGTTCCCTCTCTCAACAGACAGCTGTATGTCTGTAAAAAATCACTGTAGAAAGTCATTTTCTTACTTATTTATGCTTTATTTATCATACAGATAAGAAATAATAGCCAATTCCACTACCATCAGTACGTCTTTATAGATTGAAGAATAAAAAAGAAAAACACGCTCGGTCGTGATATAGATATAAATGGTTACTATGGTATATATTGTCTGTGAT